TGCAAGCTGCGTGCGATAATTGTAACGAATCCCCCTTTCTAACATAACTGACTGATCCAGATATAAGACTTAGAATACTACAGCGCAAGAGAGTGAAGGCAATATTCATGTCTCGTGAAAAAGGTTGCACGGTCTTGCCCCGACAGCAAAATTTCGATGAATCCAAGGACGCATAGGTAGAGCAGTGTTTAATAAAAATATATCTTTTATCATTGGTTGTTATTAAAATTCGAGATCTGATTGCCCAACACACCTGCAATGCGAGTCTATGTTTTATAATTAGTCTATTATTTGCATTATCCTAAATATTACAGTTTGTTTAGCCATGGTGGACAAGGGGGGGGGGGGGTACGGTAACAGTACAAGAAGCTAATAAAAAGTACAATAGGAGTAAATTTTTGGACAACACTGCTATAGAGAATCGAACCCGACAACCGAGAATTACCATGACACCCAGACGTGTACGAAGAGCCCAGCCTGGCCATAGTCGGCTCTCCCGCAAGACTTGAGACCAAAGCCGGATTCTGGACCGACCTCCGCATCTTGAGAAACGGATTAGCTAGTCGCCTCGTCCCTAGTCTAGCATTACTCACAGAAAAAGGTATGAATGCGAATGAATATCCTCGCAATACGAGAGAGGTTTCTTTAACTGGTCTCGAATGCATCTTCGTCAGCAATACGATACTTAAACTATCATCAACACCCGACATAGACCATCATTAAAACCTTTGCTTCTTAGCCTAAAGTACTAACACCATCCCCAAACACCTGATTTTTTGATAATTCGGGGACACCATCGCTAAAGGCAAGTCTCGCTGTACCTTGCATGTCGGGAATCACCGTTTATCCACGCTTTGCACTGTATTAACCGTAACAAAGTTCCATAAAGACGGGTTGGCTGTACGTATCAAGTAGTGTTGCAAGAGGTCATTAAAATAATAAGTCAGTGACTATGCTCTCTCCAAGGCACTTTCTCACAGCTACGAGGACGTATATAATAGGTTTATGAGCTTTAATTACACTGTGCACCGGGTTGGAACGTGTGAGTTTTGTAAGTAGCTTTATTTTCTGATTTCCGTATAGTCCTACCGATGGTATGAAAGCTCTCTCGCTCGCTCGCTCTCTCTCTCTCTCTCTCTCTCTCTCTCTCTCTCTCTCTCTCTCTCTCTCTCTCTCTCTCTCTCTCTCTCTCTCTCTCTCTCTCTCTCTCTCTCTCTCTCTCTCTCTCTCTTCTCTCTCTCTTCTCTCTCTCTCTCTTTCTCCCTTCTCTCTCTCTCTCTCTCTCTCTTCTCTCTTCTCTCTCTCTCTTCTCTCTTCTCTCTCTCTCTCTCTCTCTCTCTCTCTCTCTCTCTCTCTCTCTCTCTCTCTCTCTCTCTCTCTCTCTCTCTCTCTCTCTCTCTCTCTCTAATATCAAAAATATATTGAACTTTACACTTTACAATCTTCTGATTTCCAGAATGTTCTATCAAGGGTATGGTCATTTTCGTTCTTCCTTATCTACTGAAACAACAATTCTTCCATAAATACCATTACAATTATTAAAGAAAAAAAAAACAATATTCAAGCTCTGCAAGACGAATCAGCTAATCTTTCTGTTTCCACACAATCTTCTTAATATTCCTAATCTCTCGGAACAAATCACTTCTCTCGGCTGATCAGTGTCGAGAGAGAGAGAGAGAGAGAGAGAGAGAGAGAGAGAGACAGAGAGAGAGAGGGAAAGAGAGAGAAAGAGAGAGAAGAGAGAGGAGATAGAGATAGAGAGAGAGAGGAAGAGAGAGAGAGAGATAGATAGAGAGAGAGAGAGAGAGAGAGAGAGAGAGAAAGAGAGAGAGAGAGAGACAGAGACAGAGACAGAGCAGAGACAGACAGACGGACAGAAAGAGACAGAAAGGGACAGAAAGAGAGAGACAGAGACAGGGAGACAGACAGACAGGGAAAAACCAGTTGTCTTTTCTAAGATTTCCCAAAAGCCGATACCACAGGCCTGTCGACTAGCGGTTAGAACGTTGGTCTTCTCACGAACGGCCGGTCCACCTTCAAAGGATTGGTATTAGATGAATTCCTTGGGACTTGCTGTTACCGTTATGATTTGAGGTACAAGAATTATTATGTTTTTTTCGAACATGGATCACTGGCTATTATTATTATATTTATGTATATATCTAGTCTATGGTATCGCTCCCTCGTCCCTCCCTATTTATAGTATCCTCCCTCTCTCTCTCGTCTCTTCTCGCCTCTCTCTCTCTCGTCTCCCTCTCTCCCTCTCTCTCTCTCTCTC